TCTATCTCTCTCTATCTCTATCTCTCTCTATCTCTCTATCTCTATCTTTATCTCTATCTCTATCTTTATATATATATATATATCTTTATCGAGAGAGCAAGCTGTGAGTGAGAGCAATTTTCCTGTCACACAGTATCAGGAATCATAATACATTTTGCAAATATAGTAGAATTTTGCTCATCATAATGTTATTTGTATTTATAAGTGGGTTCTATTTTATATCTATATCCTAAGTTACTGAAATCCTTAAGTACTGAATTTGTAAAGATTTTGTTCACTATCAACTTGAGTTTTTTGAGAACTCAGTGGTGCTCTATGGAACAATCTGTAACATCATTGAAAACATCATAGCTAACATAGTAATGCCACCAGATGTTCAAAAAGGCACGCCACAACCTATTTGTAATGACCACAAAATTCTCTTAGATGCAAGCATGTGAAGAGAACCAAGCTGAATTCTCTCCCCCTAGTTTTCAGTTCCACCACTCGCCTGCTAGTTTGCTGTGTTGGGGTAGCTTGAATGTTGCTGCAAACGTGGAAGCTAATGGTATCACCCACTTGTACAAGGTTTCAGTGGAGCTTCCAGATTAAGAGAGTCTAAGAGGCCTTGGTAATCAAATCGGAAAACTATCCAGGGAAACCCTTATGGGTCATGACAGTATATTGTCTGACCTGCTTGCCTTAGACACATCATCAGGAAGGATCAATCACTAAAGAGAACATTATGTCTGGTAAAGTAGAGGGTCCGTGAAGGAGGGGAAAGCTCTCAAGGTGGATTGACACAGTAGCCACAAGGATGGACCCAGACATAGTGGCCATTGTAAGCAGATAACACTTCATTCTGCCAAATATAAGGTTATCATGAGGCTGAATCTCCTAGGCCAGTTATCTATCTCTATCTAGTGTTCAGTTAGCTTTAAGCTGTTGAGAAATAAATGATAGGTAGGGCAACTCAGTAATTTGATCTCCTCAGTGTTCACACTATATTTATACTGACTTAACCATAGTCCTTTTGAATAATGTCAATATGTTGGAAGAAAATGATATTCTAATAATGTATCTTGAGCTATGGATAGTTCGCGCCATCAACTAAGCACACATCTGTCAGATAATTGTTGTTCTTTATCTAAGGGGGAAAAACTCAAAACTCATTTCTGTCATGCTGACTCATAGCTGGCTTTCCAGAAACCTAAGAAGGGAATTGTCTGTCTTCCTCCCTTGGAACTGACAGTACATTCTAAACACCAGAGAGGCTCCACCTCGGGTTAGGAGCGCTGCCAGAACGCCCTAAGGTAAGCTCTCTAAGGCAAAAGCACTGTTTTTCAAGCTATAGTTAGTGGCACAGGTGTTTTAAATGCTGAGGAAATAAAGCAGATATTAAATAAAGTTGAACATACATACCAAGCTGGAAGAGTAATTTTTTTCAAAATGATATGACATGACGTAGTTTAGAATAGAGAGCTGGTCTAGGGCATCTTCGAGAACCGCAGAGATTCTCAGCACATCTAGCAGGGAAAGTGGTGGCTCTTCATTCTCTGAGATGTTTTCTGCTTCTCCATCTTGGACAATTTCTTCATCTCCTTCTGTGGAAGCAGGCGGTGGTGCACCTGTCACTGACACCGTCACCTCTGAACTGCTAGCACTGGAAGGCACGCTAGAGTCTTCCTGCTCATCTCTTAAAGAATGAAAAAGATGTCAGCTATCAATGATTAAGTACCACATAAATGCAAAAAAACCCACACCACAGATGGCAAGTCGATTAGCATCTGTGAAAGTCACACTGTCATATCTCTCAGATGGAAAAACAAAAATGATTCTGCAAAACACTTTCCAGTGATATTCTGATCAATCAAATACAAAAAGCTTACTCTTTTAAAAAAGTTACTCCACCCATGCTATCCAGCTGTGCTTAAATAATTTAAATTTTAGCCAAAATTACCTCCTCAACCCCTCAAGTGGTTTCTTTAGATGTTAACTCAAAGTGTCTCATGAAAAACCATAAAATAGGGCCAGCCCCCAAGGTGGTCTATCGTGTAGTTGGCCCCACTTAAAAAAAAAATAACCAATATAAGCCAGTAGGTGTCACTGGGTGGTGGAAATTGTTAATATGCTCAGCTGCTAACTGAAAGTTTGGAAGTTCAAATCCATTTAGAGGCTCCTCAGGAAAAAGACCTGGACACCTACTTCCAACAAAATCAGCCAATGAAACCCTATGAAGCACACTTGTCCTTTAACACAGGGCGGCCTAGAACCAATGGAAAACCGTCCAATGACAGTGAGTGACTTCTAGTGTTAGATATTAAAAGTCCGCAGCTTCCATTTCACCTTCTCTTGGGCTTCTTATTCTATTGGATGCCAATACCTTGCCATGAGGAAACCCAAGCAGTCCTGTGGAGGGGTCCCAAGGGTAAGGAACAAGGCTTCTTGCAAACAACCAGCATCAACTTGCCAATCCTGGAAATAATTTTTAAACTGGATCCTCAATCCCCAATGAATTCTTCAGATGCTTGCTGCACTGGTTGATTTCAACCTCATGAGACTTCATGCCTGAACCATCCTGCTAAATGGCTCAAATATTCCCAACCCACAGAAACTGCATGAAATAATAGATGTTTCTGCTACTAAATTTTGGGGTCATTTGTTACACAGCAATAGATAGCCAATGCACAAATCAAATATTTAATAGAAAGAATGTTTAAAAATAAACAAAATAAATTGGGATTTTTTTTAACATACATTTCCATTTTCTTTAAGTCTTCAGGATACCTTTGTTATCTCATAAAAAGGCAGTCACCTAAAAAAGGGAGGAAAAATTGAGATTAGTTTCAAGGAGTGTTGAAGGATGCTTCAGAAATTTCTATGCCCTGATAGTAAGATAAAATGAACGAATTCCAAAAGTGGTGATGGGGCCTTCTCTCAGCTTAAGAGAAAAGCTCCACAGATGAAGAGAATCATTTGTATTATTTTGTGCAGTTCCATTAAGCAGCCAGTTTAACTGGTGATCTGTTAAAGCCGAAGATAAATGAACTCTGAGAGTCTCTTATTAAAGCAAATTAATGTTTAATATATTTTAGTATCTTTTATATATCCTAGTATTTTATTCAGTTGGATCAACCCTTCCTAGGAATAGGAACAAATATGGAGCTGTTTCCAATCCATTGGCCAGACAGCCATCCTCCAAATTCCCTGGTATAGACTGGTGAGCACATCCAAGGCTGCATCTGTTAACTGAAACAAGTCAATTGGTATCACATCAATTCCTGGGGCCTTATTTCTTGCCAATGCCTTCAAGGCAGCTTCCATTTCCTCTTCCATTACCATTGGCTCCTCTTCATATAGTACTTCCTGAAATTTTTCAGTGTCAATCAATTCTTTATGGTACAGTGACTCTGTTTATTCCCTCCATCTTCTTTTGATGTTTTCTGGGTCATTCAATATATTACCAACAGCATTTTTCAATATTGCGACATGAGGCTTACATTTGTTTTTCAGTTCTTTCAGCTTGAAAAATAGAGTGAGTTCTTCCCTTTTTATTCTCCACTTCCAGCTCTTTAAAATCACTTATCAAACAATATCACTGATATCACATGCAAGCAAAATACTGCTGAATATCATTAAAAAATGCCTGGAACAGTACACTAATAGGGAATTGACAGAAGTTCAAGCAGGATTTAGAAGAGGCTGTGGCACCAGGGATATCATTGCTAATGTCAGATGGATCCTGGTTGAAAGTAAGGAATATCAGAAGAATGTCTGCTTGTGCTTTATTGACTATGCAAAGCCTTTTGATTGATTGACTGTGTGGATCATGACAAGTGTGGCTAACAATGAGAAGAATTACAAATGTGACTGACATTGAGAAGAATGGGAATCCCAGAACAATTGATTGTGCTCATGAGGAACCTGTACCTGGATAAGGAGGCTTTTGTTGTGAGGCAATGTCATGATAGATGGAGAGGAGCTGGAAACTGTCAACAGCTTCATCTTGCTTGCATCCACTATTAACACCCTTGGTACAAGCAGTCAGGAAATCAGGAGATGCATTGCACTGGGAAAATGTGCTGTTAAGGACCTTTCCAAATTATTGAGGAGTAGTGACATCAGTAGGAGGACTAAGCTGCATCTGATTCTGGCCATAGTCTTTCCGATTACTAGCTATGCATCTGAGACCTGGACAATGAATAAGGATGACAGAATTGATGTCTTTGAGTGTGGTGTTGAAGAAGAGCACTGAACATCCCATGGAGGGCCAAGAGAATGAACAGTTATGTCTTGGAGAGGGTGCAGCCAGAGTGCTCTTTGGATGCAAGAATAATGAGGCTTCACTTCACATCCTTTGGACATGTTGCTAGGAGATGTTATTCCTTGTAGAGGGACATGATATTGAGAAGGGTGGAGGGTCAGCGGAGGAGAGGAAGACTCTCAACCAGGTGGACTGACATCGTGACTGCTGCAATGGGCTCTTATGTTTCGGGAAGTATGAGGATGGCACAGGATAGGACTGAGTTCAGATCTTTTATTCCTATGGTCGTTACGAGTCATACTTGACTTGATGGCACCTAACAACAATAACAACAACTAAAACCTTTTATTGGCAAGAGAAAGATGGGCAGTCTCCTCCGGTGCAATTTACAGGTTCCGAAAACCTGCTGGAGTGTCAGCTAGGAGTCAGTTCCAACTTGACAGTACACAATAACAATTTTTTTTCTTGTATTCTATTTTTTTCATTAATAACCACTCCTTTTTTTGGTATTCTGGTTATGGTACACTTAATCAGATCATTGCTACAGTCACAATGACTGTGACAATGAATTCTAACATGTTGGAAATCTTAAGGATGGCACAGGATGGGGCAAAGTTCCAATCGCTTGTTCATCGGGTTGCTATGAGTCGCAGTCAACAGCACATTAACAACAGTTAGAAGAAGGAGCTTTGGTAACACAGTTCACAGGAGTCACACTGCTAACCCAAGCGTGCCACCTCTCCTGACAGATTCCACCAGCAACTTCAAGGAACAAAGATGCACAATCTCCTCCTGTAGTTTACAGCCTCTGAAAACTCGCTGGAGGGTCAGTTAGGAATCATTTCCTACTTGATGGCAATCAGTTTTTAAGTATTGTTTGAATAATTTCAGTTTGAAGTCTAAGTATTCAAGACTATCTTAAAAAAAAAAGAAGAAGAAAAACAATAAAGACTATCTCAAGGCAGTGTTTTGGGTGTTCATCCAGTTTCAATGGTACCAGGTCAGGGCTCCGTTGTGCTTTCTCATATTCTGTTTAAATGAATATTCTGCTTATACTCTATTAATGGGTCATCACTTCTACTTTGAAAAATGTCTTGAAGGACACTTCCTAGGTAGCCTTTCTGTGACACACCAGGCTGGATCAGGATGCCTCTGTTCCAGTACTCACAAAAACACCTATTTTCCTGAAGCACCCTGCTACAATTTGTAAGTTTGACATCAGTTTCCATCATGTGATTGTATGTTCCATGAGACTAGGAGCCATGACAATCTCCTCAAGAATTAATGCCTACAAGTTGTGGTGCTGGAGAAGAGTATTCAACATACCATCATGAACTGCTATGAGAGCTAATAGGTCTGTCCTAGAGAGGATGAAATGAAGCTGCTCCTTGGAAGCAGGGATTTTGAGACTCCCATCTCACATACGTGGAGCATGTAGCCAGGAGGGAACAGTATTTAGAGAAGGATATTACACTTGGTAGGATTGAGGGACAACACAGAAGAGGAAGACCCCAGATGAGATGGACTGACACAGTAACAGAGTAAAGTGGGTAGATAATATGTCAGAAACAGTGAACTTGGCTCAGGACAGAGCAGGATTTAGAGTTATTGCACACAGAGTTGCTATGAGTCATAATCGACTTGATAGCACATAA